TCCTACCAGTGTGCACGTCTGTGTGTGCTCAGCAGACACCCCTGCAGGCACATTCATCCAAGAAAACAATAGTCCGTTTGCAAGAAAAGTCCAACCTGGCCCTCAGACTCCCATTTCCCATCCAGGATTTGTTTTTGTCTGCTGTAACCCACACACTTCAGAGTGTGACAGTATTCATCTGCTATGTGTGGGTACCAACACTTTTTAAAGTAGAGTTATATGCAAAATATATGCCCTTCAGTTATGTATACAATTACAATCATTCAATTTTTAAATAATGTTTTAGCATTGTTGCCACAACTATATACAATATTGCTTCCCTAATACCCTCAAAACCCTAAACTAGGCTCAGCATGCAACTGTCAACGCTGAGAGCCAAACTATATTACATTGCACAGTGCACTGAGGGGAGACATCAATGTAACTTACAGTAGGGAGTGCGGAGAAGGGTTTCACTGCTGAGGTAATCCTCATTTATAGTCTGTGAAGGCTGAAAGTGATGTTACCCTCTGGCTGTATAGCAAGAATGTGCAAATCACAATAGTTGTTGAACAGAATTAAAATATTTGTCATGTAAAACAACGCACATGTATTTACATGCATTTTGTGTTTTACTGAGCAACTACATTTGTTAAATTCCGATTCCATAAAATGAATAGAACCCAAATTGGTGATAAGTCAGTGTAGTGGAATCACTCATCATAATCTGTAGTTTACTGGTATGATTAATATAAAAAAAAGGGGGAAAGAGAAAGTAAGGGGCTTTGTGGTGACCACTGGAGAATAGCAGGGAATTGATTCAATAATAAAGAGGTATGATTAAGATAATCATATTTCTGGTTATTATAAAGGATACAGTATTTTAACTGATTCTTATAGCATACTTTGCAATACAAATATGAAGTGCAGGCACCTAGAGCCACCCATTGCAGAGGTAGAGCAATAGGAATGTGCACAAGGGGTAGGCCAATCTTAAACACAATCGGGAGAGGTCAAAACTTATAATAGAGATCTGGGATTGCACCAAGTAATAGTTGATATATTCACTAGACAGATATAACTATAAAGCGCGGGCTCTGTGAGTTTCATATATATTCTGTTACCTAAGCACAGTGGGTGCAAACACCAAGAAAGCAAGTTTTACACTGATTTTTTTTTTTTTTTACAATTTCCATTTGATGCTTCTAATTTTTAAACCTTACAAGAATATGGTATAAATATAAAGACATGTACATTTATTCTGCTACTATTACAGATAGGGGCAAGTAACAATTAAATTCAAGTAGCAAAGTGGTTACTAAAAAGATAAACACTAATATGTGGTAAAGCAGTCACTGTGGAAAGAGTGAACAGTCTTGATTAAAATGTAATTACTGTGCTTGCATTTCTCTCTAGGGATATTCAATATCCATCAACTTTCCCTTGCCACTACACCGAGGCAACATACACTGCTCAGAGTTCATCTAAGAAAAGACAATGTATCGATCGAGTTCAGAGATTGTTCTGTGAAGCTGGCTTGTATGGTCAGCGAAAACAAAATGGGAAATAAAAGCTCCATTTGTAGGTCTGGATGGAAGGCATTTATAACCACTCACCTTGTGTTACCTTAAATCCCAGCTGAAGTATTAGCCCAAATGCTACAAATAAAATCAGGATGCAGCAAAATTGTTGTTTTTTCTGGGTTGTTTTTTTTGTTAATTATTACCACACCCAGCCAAAAAGCCCTCTGCTTCCCAGTATTCTGCAGAGAAGGACAACTGCCCTCTTTCTGACACTCCCTCTGGTGACCTACAACTCAGCAAGCATTGCTGATTGGAGAGTTGTAGGTCTGACACAGAGAGACCACTGTTCTTCAGCAGTCCTTCTATACCAAATACTATGGCCCCTTTCACACATACTGTACAGTCCGTTGAGATCCGGCTGTCATTTTGTCACGTGGATCTGATCAGTAGCAGAATTGGCAGCCAGATGTAAATTGACATGCAACTGTTTACATCCGATTACCTCCGACTCCGTCTAGATATCCAATCAGGCCTCATTGTCATGGATCGGAGGTAATCGAATGTAAATAGACTCATATCGTCTTACGTCCGACTGCCCATAGACCTAACATGGTTCCACTTAGTTCAGTTTTTTGTTTCATAGCAGGATGGAGGAAAAAAACTGAAGGGACACGATTGTCACAAAAGTGACATCGATTCCATTCTGCTCCAATCAGCAGGAGATCTTTGCATGGATCCCCTGCTGATCAGAATGGATGCCGCCCATGTGAAAGGGTCCTAAAAGAGATTGGGGCTGGGGGTTATTAACAATAAAAGGAAATAAGCAAGATATAGAAAACTCACGATTTTGCAACACCTTGATTTTATTTGTAGCATGTGGGCCGAGACTTCAGTTCAAAAGCTCCAAAGCTGATATTTCAGTTTTGTCTTGGTACTGGTGGGGTTAAATAATGTGCTGGATGCATATATCACTTTAATTGCAAAATTTACTGGAATCCCCTGTAATTTATTAATTATATTAGTTTACTAAATCTATCAGAGCATCTCAGCATCTACATCTAATTTTGTAATGGCCACAAAAAAATTGGCTAAAACCAGAAATACTGGTTGGAAAATCTTACCACTGGAATACCGAAATGAAAAATGCCAGCATGTGATTCAACTTGTTAAAAACTCCACAAAACCTGTACATAAGAGCAAAGATAAAAAAATAAACATCTGCAGGACAGGTAACCATTATTCATCTTCTTTTTCACAATACTTTGTATTTTTCGTTTCTCGCAACAGCATCACTTTAAGCAGTCAATTCGAACAGATATCAAACATCATCTTTATCTAATCATGTCTCAGGAAACAGCTATAGTACTGTAGACACCCCAGGTAACAACAAGCAGGTGTCCAATCAAAGGGTATAGGTTGGCCTTGGAACTTCTATGGTGGCCAGCAGTACAAGGGGCTCAGCACAGTTTGGCTGTATGAGCTATATACTAGACTGTCAAATTATAGCAAATCATCAGAAATCATGTCAACAGATATGCAATAAACTGAAATCTTATTGGATGTTTAAAATTATTAAAATTATTGCACATCTTTATTGGGTTTTACACTACAACACCAAGCTAGTCAGAGTATTATAATGACACAGTTCTCAGTAGTGATGCATTATCATTATTATATTTTTTTTATTTCTTAAGCACCAACCTCTCTTACAGTTTTGCACAAAGTAAGCATAGATAGAGACAGCAGAGCATTGCTGGGAAATCTCATCTGTAATCTCACGAGATCTCAGGGAAAAGCATTTTCCTCACCTGACATGATGTGCATGGTCACATGTCCTAGTCTCATGTGTCAGAGTTCCAGGAAGTAAGTATATGAATCTGCTCTTAGTAAACAAAAATGGCCACTGTGAGAAGAATGGGGAGGAAAAGAAAAATAAAGTATGCAAAGAATAAAAAGCCAGCAGTTCTCTATTAGTATCTGTAGATTGGCATTACTAAACATTTCTAAAGGTGCCTTTGTTGTTATTTTGAAGATATGGGTAAAGTTCCTTATTAAACACCATGCTTATAACAGTACTGGACAGGACCTGGAGGACAGCAAAAGTCCCTATTTATCTAATGCATTGTTGATTTAGCAGTTTTTTCTTACATGTGCCAAGATCTCCCCACTCAGTAAACTATAGATGTTCAGCTGATTTGGCTGTTCTTGTCAGAGAGCAAGTGACATTTGCTCTTCTTCTCTGCTTCAAGCATCCACCTTTACTGCTCTTTTTACTTACCTTCTATTTGCTGCTATCCCCCCCCCCCCATCCCATCATTGTGTGCCTGTGCTCCCACTCAAGTGCATCCTTATAGTGCACTGCAGCATGCCAACCTCAGGAACTCTGGGCAAACATTTTCTTAACCCTTGCAGTGGGTTGCACTGCAAGGGATAAGTGCTTGTTTTGGCCTAGGTGCAAAATAGCAAAGTTATACTCACCGAAACTTACAGCTTGCTGACTGTTAGAGCTCTCCCTCCAGCCTGTCTCCTTCTCTGATGCAGCGATGGTATGCCCCTCGGCGTCCTCATGTCCAATACATGTATGACTCATTGGACCTTAGACCACTGGAGCAGATGGGGAAAGAGGCTGGAAGGACTGGTCTAAGAGCAAGCCAGCTCAGAGAATCAGGTGAGTATAACTTTGTTATTTTTGCAACTAGACCAAAAGTAGCACTTAACCCTTGCAGTGTGGAGGTAGCTCAATTGCAACGGTTACGTTTTATTCTGCCTGGAGTACATTTTTAAAACTGGGGTTAAAAGGGCCAGATTCTTATATAGTACCTATCTGGAGAGTCAAGTGGATTCAAAGTGGTGTCTAGTTGCAACAACTTGTGTATCTTTTTTGTTACTGTGAAAGTGAACATACTTGATTGATTCCACATTGTGAATTAGTTTAAAGGCATAAAGTTAAATTATTCATTATATCGATAGACAAGCATTCGGCAATTTTTTTTTTTCCCTCTAACACTTGACTTCAGTACATTCATGTGACAAAAGGTTGATTTACCTTTTAATTATGGTGTAAAATGTTATAATGAGCATTTCATCTTTCCTGCCCATGTTTACCCTTGTAAGATGCCCCTTATAATCTAGTTATCACTAGCTATATTCAGAGGAATTTCATCTATTTAGAAGGTCAAAGTATATATGGCATTAGGTCAATAATGTGCAACCCTACAAGTGTTAGAAGCATCTTGTGTGGCACTTTCCAAGGATCATACTTTACAGTCCTAATTTTATCTAGAATAGGAAGCAAATGTGGACAGTCATATTTATTAAATTGCCACTAATACGGTGGTATTAAAGGAGAACTATGGGGTCAGTGATTTTCCCCATAGTTCTCCTTAGGCTAACGGGAGGACACAAACTAGCGTCCTCCCGTTACCCTAAGCTCAGTATACCGCGAGCTGCAGCTCCCGGTATACTGAGACGCCGCACCTGGAGCGGATCCCGACGTAATTAGTGAAATACCTAATTACTTACCTGTTCCATTGCCGCTTGCCCCTGGCTGAAGCACTTCTGGATCCCGAACGGCTGTGAAGAAGAACTGTGTGGGTACATGCGCAGTAGAGGGGAGAAAACAGACACTGAAGCCTAATGGATGCAGCAAGTCAGCCGGGAGCGCACACATCAGACAGACACTTTGGGACACAAGGAGTCTGCGGTCGATCACGGACCGACACCAGCGCTGGAGGGACTGTCTGAAATGAGTGGAAGGAAGAAGATGATCGCAGCAAGAGGCATAAGGTAAGTGTTTACAGCAGAAAGGGGGGGACATTTTTTTTTTACCTTTTAATGTCACTTTAAGTGATAATAAATTTGCTCATTGATAACACAACAGCAAACCTGTATACTGATGCCATATTGTCCTCACAACCTTGGTAATCTCTGAAAGTTAAGCAACTACTGTTTAGTTGCTGTCCTTGGACCACCTGGTGAGCGCTACTGGCTTACATTAAGTTCTGTTTACAAACTATGTTGCTGCAGAAGGTCAGTTAGGAGCATCAGGGCAAAACATTATGCAAGCTACATCTGTTCCATCAAGCTTTCTCTGTGTGTTGCCTGCTTAGCTGTATAAATACCACTTACACTCTTTATAGCATTAATGGTTCAATGTAGAGGTGCACCAAAATGGAATTTTGAGACCGAAAATACAAAATTTGTCAGGCTGAAACCGAAACCGAAAATTATTTTTTTCTAACCTTTTTACTTTTTTTAATATTTTATTTTTATTTATTTTTTAATAAATATATTTTTTTTCCTTTTACTGTCAGGGGCTCCGGGGAAATATCAGGGGTCTAAACAGACCCCTGATATTTCCCTTTTGAAACACAAAAAGAGATTGAGGACACAATCTCTTTTTCTGAGGCCCCTGTTATGATTGAACAGGAAGCCTCTATACTGCGTGCTCCCGTCCATTCATAAACTGAGGACATAGTATCAGTTACTATGTCCACAATCATGAATAAATAGGAAGTGATGTAGAGCACTTCCTGTTCATTCATAATTGGGGACAGAGTAAACATACTATGTCCTCAATTATTTACAAGCAATCAGCTGATTGTTTGAGTGCTTGTAACTGCTCTCCATGGCTGTCACAAGAGACTGAGCAGTTGGCGCAGTAGGAGAGTTCACGGCTGACAGCTGACTTCTCCCCTGCACCGTCGGCTTGGCCTCCTGTGACAGCTAACAGCTGTCTCCTCCCTGCACCACTATCCATCCTGATTTGTTGTCAAGGGAGGCCGAGTGAGGTGGTGCGGGAGCAGAGCTCAGCCTCCTGTGACACTGACCGCTGACAGCTTTATTCTTCTAGCTGGCCCCTTCTAATGCCTCCCTTATGGCCACTAACAGTGATGGGAGGCCTCACCATCCAAAAGGTAGGGAATGAGCCAGAGCACAAACTTCCTAACCCTTGTGGCAGTTTGTGGGATCCAGGGGCACTCAGAATATAAACTAAAGGCCTGTGCAGGTAACTAGAGGTACCTGCTTTGTGGTTTTGGGGCTGCTTGACTGTACTAGAAGAAACCACTGGTTTGCTTTCAGATCCAATTACCTTTTCTAACCTTTTTACTTTTTTTATATTTTATTTTTATTTATTTTTTAATAAATATATATTTTTTCATTTAACTGTCAGGGGCACAGGTTTGCTTTCAGATGCAATTATCTTTTCCAGGGTTCAAGGTATTCTTTAGGAATTGGACAAACTTTTGGTAATCAAACAATTTTCTATTGTCTATCTGCCATATGGCTGTTCTTCCTGCACTGGCTTCTGACATGAGACCACTTAAGAGTGACATAAATTTAAATCTGCCATTGCTCTGGGTATTTTATATACAGGAACTCTATCTGCAGAAATATTTTGTGGCTTTGAAAATGTTCTAACACTCTTCAGGCTAAAACTGATTTTTGGTATTGAAGACACTTCTACACCAATGCACTGGTTGCACATTAAAACAAATATTACATTGTTAGACATTGTCCTATAGCTGCTTTAAATAAAGTGCTCCTTTATCACATGAACGACCTTTTTGATCAGTATTTCCCAAATCAGTTTTTTTTTTTTAACTTCATGTACATTTCTGCTATCCTTGCAGATTATTTTGCTTATTTTTGACAACTGGAAAGTGTGATAAATTGTATATGATAATTTTGCTTTATTTTTTTTAGCACCAACATACTCTGCGATACTTTACAAAATACATACACCATTAATCCATGTCCCCAACATGGACTGGATAAACTGTTTATTTAATCTCCCTACAAGGGTTGTACCGGCCCTAGTGTCAGTTGTAGTTGATAACCAGTTACTGCATCTACTGGGAACTGAACACAGGACCAGAGCACTGGGAAGCCAAAGTGCTAACTGCCTAGCCACTCTGCCAACCTGATCATTTTGCTTGAGCTTGATTCCTTCACTTCTTCATCTAGTAACGTTCTGCTAATAAAGTAACTTAACATGGAAATGTGAATACATTAGAAACAATTTGCTTTGGTTCTTCAGCATCTTTTAATCCCGTTGATTAAATAAGGAGAGTGCTTTTCATGACAATTTCGTGATAACTAAATTATAAGTTCACTTTCATTTTTGTTTTCCTTTCACGTAATCAAATGTTCTTGCTGAATTTCATCTGCGATATTCTGGAGAGGTTGTATGCCTGTAATTCTCTAATTGGATATGACTTTAAAATTAAAATGTTAAGACTCTTACTCTGAGCACGGGTGAGTCGATTACAAAATAAGAGATGATGCAAGCATTTATCTGGCAGACATAAACATATTACTCCTTTTAATTGAACATTTTCTTAATCAGTTCCCAGCCAGTGGGATATTCAGCATACAGAGCACTGTGCACCGCTAGTTTAGAAGCTTCTTTGTTAACCCTAAGTCCGCCTTGGGGTCTGCACGCTGCATGGGGTGACAGCCCCTGTACAGAATTAAAAGGGTTACTTCTGTAATGGTGTTTGCACATTGTATGGCAATTTATTTCTCAAATATCCACATTCTTAATGATCTCCAGCACTGGTTTTTAATTAATTTAGTAATTTTGCGATGCTGTGATCAAACTAGTTGCTCATGGGAGCTTGAAGTTGTTGAAAGCCAAGCGTACTTTATCCACTCAACTTCCAGCCTGTAAAAAAAAAAAAACTGGCTTCCTTCAAATGAATCGATAAATGACTTGAACGAGGAGATTGAAGAGCATTTCTCAAGGCTTTTAAGCTGTATGTTTGTACTCCAGTTTAGGCAACTGGATTTCCATATCTATAGGTGTATCAAACCCACCACGCCTATATAAGTCGCAGCTTATTGATTGAACCCAGATGTTCTTCACGTTCCCTATTACTCACATCAAACCTTTTATTCTGCCTCATTAAAATTCTCCGCCTTAGACGATTTCTAATTATATTGTCTAATAAACGAAACCTTTAGAAGCCATTTGCATATTATATGAAGAAATCTCACCCAACAAAATCGCTGTGGATTCAATTAACATAATAGCTAATTATGGGATTCATCATCCCTTTAGTGTTACTGTGTTTTCATCTTCCTCCTGTTCTAGCCTACAGCATTTAAGTTTTGAATTGCAGCTCCTAAATATTGACTTTTAACTATGTTTAATTGGGAAGTGAACATCTTCATGGAACCATAACGGGTGGTTAATTTCTACTTTTCGTAGCAGCTCATTGACTGCATTATTTTTTATGATAACTTGATATCAAAATAAAAACATATTTCAGACAGTCTAAATATAATATATTTTTCCTAGTTGTCAGGTTTTTACAATGTGTTATAGGGTTGACATGACATTGCAAGCTGGCTTAGAACAGTGATTCCAAAGTGTGGAACGTGTACTGCCAGTAGTGCATGTCCCTATTCAGCAGGTAGACAGCAGGACTGAAATGTTTTAATGTGAAATTGTAAAAATCTACAAATAATCAGTGGTATTGTCTTGTGCTAGGTAGGACTTCCCCACAATTGTATGAAACTCTCACTGCTAAGGGTTTGAACAATTGTAACACAGGAACCTAAGGATTTTGTGCACAAAATATTCCCCTTTATTAATAAACATGGTAGTTAGCTACTAAGGCTATAATGTGAACATGCAGCTCAAAGTTTGGGAATTCTGGCTAGCAAAAAGGTTAAATGCATGTGAAGGTAGGATTATTCTAAACCACTTCTCAGGTGAGAAATCAATTTAGAATTTAGCTTTGTCTTTGCCCAATTATCGAGGTAATATTTAAGTTACATATACAATAACAATGTAGCTTTCAAATTGTTGCATTGATTGCTTGAAGTTGAATACTAGAATAAAACATTGTTGTTTTATCAATTGCATTTAGGATCTCTACTTCTCGTTATCGCCATCCCATGTCCCTGAAACTACTACCCCCTATGCTAATACATGTTAACGTGAATGCAGCCCATCAGTCAATTAGGGCAATACTTAGTGGCAGAGTGCCAAAAGTGTCCCTTGAATTGGATGAATCTTGGTTCAAACCTTATAATCCCTTGGAAAGTAAAGGCAAGCTGGTGACCTGATTTTTCTCTTCCCCAGTTAAGCAATAAAGTTAGGTCACCTTTCTGCCCCTAGCCTAGTGATTGGGCAGTATGCAGCAGCCCATCCCTCTATCACTCTGCGTGATAAATTGTGTGCACCAAGCTAAACTTCCCCTGCAATTCCCTTGCAAAGTGGACAGTTTATCTGTTTTTTGTAAATCAACCCCAATATCATGGACATGTTTGTTGATATAATTAGCATTAATAAATATGTAAATGTTTCTGGATATCATTAGAAGGCAATATATATATATATATATAAAAACTAGGTTGGCATTATAGGGATCAATTTTCTCCAGCATAGAACATTTTCTCTCCAGTAATGCCAAGGGAGAAAATGGTCAAATATGTGTTTGATGCCTTCTTTTGTCTCCAGTGTCAGCTTACAGAGAGCAATAGATTGCACAGCAAAGTTACAAACATGTCAAGTATATCAATTTCTGTTCAGGTCTGTGAGTTTCTACCTACGTACCATAGATGAGAATGTTATCTGTAGCACTATCCAATAATATATCTATTTTATTTTGGGTGACTCTTTAAGATCTGCTGATATTGGGTAGTTTGTTCCATACCTTATTAAATTGACCACAAGCAGAGCAAGATAAACATCTGATGGCTTACTATGGATGGACTATTGTGACACCTTCACACAGAAATCTGACTGGGAATACACTGGCGTTAATTGCGACAGATAACCTTGGCACAACAAAGCCAGAAAAAAGCTGATCAGCTCATCTGGAAGGATGCTTCCAGTTCCTGATTATTCTTATTGTGAGTACAGAGATAAGCCTGGGACCTCTATTCACCGCCTGTGGTGTACACTAATATAACCTAAATCAGTCGTGGTCAACTTGACAATTATAGAGGGCCTCAAGTGCGGCCAACACTCCCAGAGGTCTATATGTTTTGTGCGTAGAGGTGCATTGCATTGAGTTAGGTATTGAAAATTAATCGACTGTAACGTATTGAAAATTTTGGTCCTGCTGCATTTTTTGCAGTGTACTGTTACACACACTGAAGAGAAAGTAGTAGCAAAATAAGCCCTATTGATGTTTTCAGTGTGCAATAGTATCTCCCAGCATTGGTATCAGTGGGCACAATAATAACCCCACAAATTGGTGTCAATTACCGCAATAGTAACCCCCAGCATGTGTCAGTGGATGCTGCAATAACTCCCCAATTGACGACAGTGGCAGCAAAAATAACCCCCAGCCTTGGTGTCAGTGGCCACAACAATAACCCACAGAATTGGTGTCAGTAATTGCAATAATAACCCTCAGCATTTGTATCCGTAGCCACAAAAATAACCCCCAGCATTGGTGTCAGTGGCCACAACAATAACCCACAGCATTGGTGTCAGTAATTGCAATAATAACCCTCTGCATTTGTATCCGTAGCCACAAAAATAACCCCCAGCATTGGTGTCAGTGGCCACAACAATAACCCACAGCATTGGTGTCAGTAATTGCAATAATAACCCTCTGCATTTGTATCCGTAGCCACAAAAATAACCCCCAGCATTGGTGTCAGTAGAAGTACTATAAACCCCACAACACACACACACCTCACATTGTTGGTTAGTTGCAGTGCTTTTAACATGCCCTTGCATTGCTGGTCAGTGGAAGAACTATTACCCCCTTACTCATCACTGGTGGTCAGCAGCACCCCCTTGCATTGCTGGTAAGTGTTGTTGACCCCCCCATCTTACATTGCTGGTCAGTGACAGTGCTGTTAACCCACTCCCTCAATTGGTGGTCAGTGGCAATGTTGTTAATTCCCCTTACCTTATCATTCACCCCCTCCCCCCCCCCCCAAAAAAAAAAACTGGCTGCGACTATACTAATCCTGCCGGGTGGAGATCTCTACACCTGACAGTACTACAGGTGTTTTTTCAGTGCCAGGTGCTGGAACACAGAGAGCATTTAAGCACCTGGAACCCTGCTGCCACCCTAAAAACTATGGTAGAGTGCAGGTAGCCACCAGCACAGCACAGACACAACACACTAACCAAAGCAAAGGATATCCTAGAGCACAGGTGCCCAACATGGAGCTGACCGTGCCCAGGACATGGTGTGCAGCACACAGAGTGCTTGCTTTATGCTGGTCACATGTAGGGCACCAGGGCCCTAAATAGCACATGAGGTTGTTTAAAGAAGAATGCTTTGGCACTTGGAACATTTGCAAATTAACCCTCATATCATAATATGTACCCTTTACCTTGACCATTCTGTCCAATATAAACATTCAAATCGGAACAATCAGAATTTTAGAAAACCCTTCTTCACTCTAAAAATGCATCTGTTCTTTGCACTGAGAGCTGGGTTATGTCTACATTGGCTGTAATGTGCCCTGCCCACATATCTCTTTACCAAGAGAATGAACAATACTGAATTGGCCAAAAATGTCTACCTTACCCTGTTAAGGCTCCGATGTTCCATGTTGAATATCGATTGTAACTTCATAGTAAATGTATTACACAAACTGATGGTGCATACAAATATGCCTTTAAGGTCTTAATTTTTTTCTGCAATTGCACTCAAGCCCATTCCCAAATCCCTTTCCCTGGGAGCAGCTAAAGACCATTTTGCTCTGTGTGAGAGCAGCAATCTATTTCCAGCGGCCTGACATGCAGCCAGCACAAGGTGAACAGCCTCTGGCATGTTAGAACAATGTAGGTAAGGGAAGTCGGCCCGTCAGATCCGTAATTTCGGGATAAGGATTGGCTCTTCAATCATTAAAGCTGAGCTGGGAGCATGAATGAGGCTGACTGGAGCGCACTGGTTGTGACTGTGGACGGGGAGTGTGCCAGACCACTGGAGACAAAGCGCTGCTCTCACACAGAGCACAGCGGTCTTTACATGCATTTTTTGCACCCTTCATTTGTGTAAAGTATATGCACATTTGTGTAAAGTATATGCTGTTAAAGTGACATTAAACCCTCAGATTTTTTTAACATAAACCAATACTGTAATGTGTGCCTTACTGTAATCCATGGTAGTTTCCCTTCTCTTTGCTGCTCTTCCTTTTAAATCTGTATCTGTTCTAATGCTGGGGGAGAACTTCCCTTTGCAGCTGAGTGCCTCTTCCTGTAGTGCTGGCTCAGGTTTTGAACCTTCACACAGACACCATGTATAAATTCCAGAGACAAGGCAGTCTGCTGCAAAACAGAAGTTCTGCCCAGCATGAGAACAGATACAGATTTAAAAGGAAGAGCAGCAAAGAGAAGGGAAACAACCATGGATTAGCCCTCGTTCACACCTGAACGTTTTGTAGCGCGTTCTAAGCTCGACGAACGCTCTACAAAACGCTCAAAAATATAAATCCCATTGTATTCAATGGTCTCGTTCCCACCTTGGCGTATTTCCGCCCGTCCCTAACGCGCTACAAAACGGCCCACGCCTGAAAAGGTACAGGTACTACTTTGGGCCGTTTTGTTGCGCGTTTCCATTGGGATACAGCCAAGTAGCCTTCGGAAACGCGCGACGGTCGCGCAACTTTTTTACCGCGAATCGCGTTAAAAAACGGTCGCGCGACAGACGCGCATATGCAATACGCCTAGGTGTGAACAAGACCTTACAGTAAGGCACACATTACAGTTTTGTTTTATGTTAAAAAATCTGAGGGTTTAATGTCACTTTAAGTTACAATTAGGTTTTAATTTAAAAAATTAGCCACTAATAAATGAGGTTTCAACCAAAGAAAAGCTTCAGTTTTCTTAAACATGAACATAACATATCTAGTTGGAATATTCCTATTGATGTTATTATTAGTAATGTTTTTATAAATGATCTTTCTATTTCAACCTGAGCTAGCTGTGATTTCTACAACTTTGGGGGAAAAAAACCTCTTCTGTGCAACCATGGCAACAGTATTCTAATAAAATTGATTTCCTCAGAATTCTAACTTGCCAGCTATTAAAATAAACATCACAATACAGACAACCTGATGCATGGAATGAGGCATCCCCAACAACATTCTTAGGTTTCCCGCAGAGAGACATTTTTTGTTTCCAGAATGCATGCTAATAGTGCTGTGCGTCTAGATGGATGAAGGGGGTACCATGTTTTCAACATTGGGATTACCTGATTATGATAAAAGTCTACCAGTGTGCCCACATTTACTTCAGCATATGTACTGTCAAACTTACTGTATGTCAGTATCTACAGAGAAGAAGCAGGTAAGATTTTGCAATAAAATGTGCTAATATCCTTGCTGTCTATAACTGAATGTATTCCTATCTCTTCCTAGTTGGTTAGAAACACATCAATTAAATGAAGCGGGCCAGTATATACAGAGCAACTGTGAAATGTATCTGTAATAAATGTCCTTATCCTCTAAATAGAGATAATGGTTTTGACTTTGGTCAAAAGGAATTTCTGCTGCCACAATGATGGCCCCTTCCACATTGATATTCTAATGAGCCTGGTATCTCTCAAAGTCTGTTCTGGGTGGAAGGTCTTGTCTCCGGTATAATTACAATAGGAAATTGTTCATTGACAAGCACTATTCAAAATCTCATACTCTTAAATGCTTTAAAAAGAACTTATTAGTTTGCTTCTTTTCCAAAATATCCACTGTTCTCCATCACTTTAAAAAGTGTTTTACATTAATTGGATATTTGAGCTGCTACTATCAATTGCTCTTGCATTGTATTCCTTAAGTAGCTTTTCCATAAAGGTATCTGAAGGTGATGCATTCATATGCATTTTTAAAGCATAGAATAGGAAAGTAATTTTTTCTAAAAAAATAATAATTTAATTTTGGAATAAATGGGTAATCTAATATAATTAACAGTTTTTTTCTAATTTTCAAATATATCAGTGTTATCATTTGTGGTTTTCAATATGTATTTTACAATTTTTATATGTATTTTATTTTTTCTATCCCTATATGTGTATTTATATTTCTGGAAAATATATATCTTGTTGCAACTTTTTATATTTTATAATCTTCATTTCCAGCATTAATAAACTTGCTAACTAATTATGAACAATGGTATTATGGTAATATGCTAATATTATCTATAGATTTTCTGTTATTTTTAAAATGCAAAATATATATTTATATATATTTTGGGTTTTTATATGATTCATTGTATTATATTATTATATTACACAGGTTGACAGAAAGCCATTATATTTAGCACAGCTGTAAAATAGGCAGCAAAGCAAAGACAAAAGGAATTTAGTTCTATTCACTGTAGGAAGTGTTCTGGTCACTTGTACTTGTAACCCCAGTGGTGCTCCAACAATTTCAAAGGTTACCATGCCCTGAAATGCTGTTAGAACATCCACTAAAACCAATAGTATTTTGGAAGTGCTCATTCGGCCCCTTAAGTGTTTTTGTTTGTTAACAAACAGTCTTTTAATGTCATTGGAATGTCTAGAAATAATGTATTGTATTTGTTCCCTAAGGTTAGCATGCACTGCTTTCCAAGTATACCTCAAATTGTGAGCAGTATTTAAAATTGGTGGAATTTTTGGTTTGTTACCAAACTAAATTTTGAATGTAGATAAACAAAGATATTATTAGAATATCTATTTCTGTTCTTGGATATTAGTGTGAACCACATATCGGTTGATGCAGAAGATGTGTGTTAACAAAAAAGGTTCTTGTTGCCCTTAACAACTAATCAAAGCTTTGTTTGAAATTTAAACTTGTACTGCAGAAGAGACATTTGAAAGCTTATTGGTTGCTACAGGCAACAAGAAATGTTCTTAATTGCACACTTTTCCATACATCAGTCCTACAGAGTATAACATCTGCAGGTAATCCTTAATAAACAAAACATATTCTGTTTTTTCTGTGTCCATCAAGATAAAAAATATGTGTCTTTATTTCCAGTTAATGTTATGTAAGGAGAGCAAAAGGGATTTTCCCCATTATTCATATGTGGTTAAATATTCATTTTTTTAAGGCTACATAATCTCATGATAAAGTTGTTAAAATAAATACAGTCTCATTCCAGGACAGGGTTCCAAATATGTGTGTTTTCATTAAAAGCTGTTGACATTTTTGGGCTAGGAACTATTTGTTTTGCATTTTCTTGAAACAGTGCAAGTCAAGACAGCAGCTTTTCTTTTGTTATATGGAGTATACTTTGCAATGGTAAAAGACATGGCAGGCCTCTAGTGCATTCAGTATTATGCAGGGGGGCCTGCCACTAGTGGCTTGGTTTTTACACTGTGGGCCTTATTTAGAAGAAATCAGCCAACTCCAATCATGTAAGCTGTATATTTGCCTTTTTGTCAATTATTTTTATTTAGACAATATTCTTTGCAATCTACAACCAGCCATGTTTTCATAACAAAGTGTTTTTTTTTCTCTCCATGCAACCATGGAAGCCGTAATCAGGATTTCTGAGAATTCTCCTGTGATTGGCACATTGCTTTTCTCATACATATGTGCAGAATTTGACGCCAAGTTACAACCATCCCTCGCAATGTCTTTAGGCGTATAGTGCATTTGTTGACAGAACTAGAACATGTGATTACCGGACTAGTCATGTGATTTTAGTACAGTTAGACTCGTGTTTAGCAACACTTGATCAGAACTTTTGGTATGACCAAGCTCAGTATCCTCAAAACTGAATCCGGTAAAAGCTTAATAGAATCCTTGTACTCTAGATAACTAATCTGGAGACGGATGCCATATTTCTCAACACAACTGTACTTTCAAATTAATAATCGCAACAACTGTGATTTCTTTTTGAAGCATACCACCCAATGAGAAAATAGTTTTTTTGGAATCCCCTATCCTTAACTGCTTCATACTAATTGAAGTTTGCCTGCCAAGGACTGATACAGTTCTGTTACTTTTTGTCTTTAAAATAACCCAGTACCTAAATCTTGTTGTGAAAGTTTTATGCAAGGTCATTTGTTTCATTCAGAGATTTTTCAAGTTGTTTTTTTTTTTTGGGGGGCGGGGGTGGACTTATTCTCTATTGGACTACACTCTTTAACCACTTCAAGACCAGGTGTTTTGACCCCCTTCCTGGCCAGGAAATTTTTCATTATTCAGCGCTGCGGTACTTTGACTGACGTTTATTCCGTCATGCAACGCTGTACTGAAATGAATTTTATACCATTTTTTGGGGACAGATAGGGCTGTATTTTGGTGGTATTTAATCGCCACTGGGGGTTTTATTTTTTACTATAATTAGGAAAAATTACAGAAAATTTTGGGGGAAAAAAAGTTTTTTTTACATTATGTTAGGAAACATTTATTATTACCCAGTTTTTTGGTAAAATATAAAAGATCGGGTCACGTCAGGTAAATAGACACCAAACATGTCAAGCTTTAAAATTGCGCGCACCCGCGAAATCGCAGAAAACTACCATACCCAAAATTGGCCATGGGCGGCGCTTTAAAAGCTTTTCCCGCTCATCAGTTTAGTGTTATCAGTGATTGATGGCCCTAGACTTATTGTTCTCACTCCGACGTTCACGGCGATATGTAACATGTGCGGCGTAATGGGCGCAATCGTCTTTTTTGCACGTATGCGCCCCCGACGCATGTTTGCATGCGTGTATGTATGGGTGGGAACTTTAAAAAAAAAATTAGTTTTTTTATTCTTTTTTATGGTGTAACTTTAAATTTGGGTGGAACTTAAATTTTTTTTCCCTTTTTTCTTTTTTCACTAAACTTTATTGCTATCACATACGGGACCTGGAGGTGGTTAAACAAGAGCCTTCACTTGCACAACATACAATTAAAAATGTTACACTGTAT